GTAATGATTATTTTGATACACACACACACACTGGTATATTAATAAAAGAAATTACAAGAGGAAAAGCTTTTGTTACTTGAAGAACTTTATCATTGAGTAGGCAGCCATCATCATTGTTTTTATATATATATATATATATATATATATATATATATATATATATATATATATATATATGCTATATATATAGTGTACCCATGCCATCAAAATTGATGGCAAGAAGGAATGTATTATTATAAGTAATGTGTATTATATTGTAATTTTTGTTTAATCCAAGTAAATTTTTTCTGTGTAACAATTGAGGAGAAGTGTGCAAAGTAACAATAGCCTCCCACATAAATTCAAGTTATATTTGTTTTTGTAAAGAAAAAAAGAACTTTAGTTAAATAAAAATTATGAGAGACTGACATGGGTTACAGGCAACTTTAGTCATATTGAATACTTGTTTTATGAATTTAACTGTATTTTATTTCATTTTTAGGGCCAATTAGGAAGAAATAAATAAATATAAGTTATATACATATATTAGAAACAGTGAAATACTGTTATGTTTCTTTTTTCTTTTAAAAATAAATATAACTTGAATTTGGGTAGGTGGGCCAGAATTTGTGTGAATGAGTCAGTATGTGTGTACATGCTTCTTAGTAGTAACAAGAGATAGTTAGAATTTAGTTCTTACTGTTAACTGTGTTGCTGTTGTTTGGGGTGGTCTCTTTGTAGTTTTCAGTGCAGTAGTTTTTGGCGTGAGGATGTGAATGGGGTCATGACTTCTGTGCATCTTGTATCAAAATTTTACACCCTCTCCCTCAATTGTTACAAAAAGAAAAACTTATATATAACATGCCACACACACACACACACACACACACACACACATATATATATGATCAGGAAGGTAGATTGTATCTTAGTGCTTTTGAATATATATGCATACACACACACACATATATATATATATATATATATATATATATATATATATATATATATATATATTGTGTGTGTAGTATTTGACCAACAATTTTTAATTTATGTAGGTTTGATTGAGGACCAATGGAATATTTTTTTAATTTAATATTTTTAAAATTTGGATCATTTTTCTGGTTTCCAAGGACAATATGAATAAAAATTATTTAAAGAAAAGAGTACTGAATTGATGTGATATCAGTCCTCCTATGTGGCTGTGAATGGTAGACAATCTTTTCACAGATAAAGAAACTTGAAGCAACAGAGATGTGGTTTTACAGTAGGAAACTGAGATTACTATGAACCAAACATATGAGCAACAGGAAAGTTTTGGAGAAAATGGAAACAAAAAGGACACTTAGACTTGACATCAGAAAGAGATAGTTGACATTTTTAGGGTACATTATAAGGAAAGAGGGCTTAGAAAATTTGATACTCACGGGACAGATGGAAGGCAAAAAGAATGGTGGAAAATAACACATAACCTACCTAGCATGCTTGAATAAATGGATGTCAGAACAGGGTTTAAGAGAGATAACAAAAAACAAAATTTATTAAATGCTACAAAGGACAGGAAATTGTGGAGATCCATGAACACCAACATCCTGAAGGGACATGAGCATAGAAGATTATATTCTGAACACTTTTGTATTTTATGAGTTATTCTTGAAGAAATTTTACAGGTTGATTATGTCTATAGACATACATTGTGTTTCTTTGATGGTTTTTTGAGTATTGCATCTTCATGTGTCTTTGATTGATACTTGGGGTTCCTGTCAAGTATTGCATCTTCATGTGTCTTTGATTGATACTTGGGGTTCCTGTCAAGTATTGCATCTTCATGTGTCTTTGATTGATACTTGGGGTTCCTGTCAAGTATTGCATCATGATGCATTAATTTGTAGTGTTATGTTTCCTTTGTTTTCTTTTTACATTTGTGACAACTCTATCAATCTACAAAAACTCTTTGAAAATAGCTTATGAAAGCTGAAAATATTCAGAAGAGTGGACAAGACAACCTATGTTTAAATGCTTCCTAGAAAACAGAAAAATAGTCTGGACATAGAAAAATTATATTAAAATCATTTTAAACAAAGAATTTCCATTGATCCTCAACCAAACCATATATATATATATATATATATATATATATATATATATGTATATATATATTTGTAGTCCACAATCATAACATTAAGAGAAGTGGCTGAAGCATAAACCTATTTGACTGTTTTTGCTCTGTAAATTTCTTTATCTGTGTCATATCATTGAACCATTGAACTTGTTCATTTAACACCCAATACATAAACGATAATTCCTATCTGTAAGACAGTGTCATGAAATGGATTTTTGCCCTTTCCACATTTATTGACTTTTATTCACTCAACTTATAAAGAAATACTATCAAAAGTAAGGTAAGAAATTCTAATTTGTTTCAGTCTTTTTTTTAGTTTCTTGTTTTCTTTCTTGTTTTCTTTCTTAAACTTTCTTTTTCATATCTATCTCTTATAAAGTAATACTTATCATTTTTTTTCTCACATAGCAATTTGATAGTGTCACAAAAACATTACATGTACTGCTACTAAAATTATTGATATGGACTTAGAGTTTTAGTTTTTAATTGCTGAATTTCCAGTTACAAAAATAAATTCTTATATTGAATTATTTCTTCTGTTGTGATCAACTGACAGCAAACTCTTTTTTCTTTTTTTAGAATTTGGATCTTGAGAAAAAATTCTTTAATTAAATATATATTGAAAACTATAACAAAATAAGTTTAATCTTTGAATTTTAAATCCTGAATTGCTCAAATTGCTGAATTCCTCTTTTTATGCTTCACCAATTCTCTACAAAGTGTTAGCAACAAACAGATGTATTCTCTTCTTTTCATAAATTTGAATTATGCTTTTTTAAGATGATGCAAAGTTTTCTAGCATATTTTGACAAAATCTTTTAATTCATATAAATCCATAATATAAATTGGTCATCAAAGAATTTTTTCCTGATCTTCAATAGCAATTAGTATATTTCATTATAAAATAACAATTCCAGTTTTGATTTATTGTATTGAAATTTTTAATCAGACAAGCAAAAAGCAAGAGTCTGAAAGTAACAAAGAAAAATAAGTCACATGAAGAACTTCCCATTCCATCTACATGATTGTTTGCTGTATCTCATTTGTATTATGAAGATGCATTCTTTTCCTATGTAGAATTCCAACCAATTTTTTTATTGCAGCTTCATACAGTAACAGTCTGTCTAAATTCTAGCAATTCATACATCTAAATCCTTCCAAAAACGTAAATGTGTATAGCTGCATGAGAGAACAAACAAAACAAAAAAAGTATCACTGGTAAAGTAGAAAGAAAAGAAAGCAAGAATTGCTAAGATAAAATTTTTTGTATTACCAATATAAGAAATCAGGGTGGAATGTCTCTTTGTGGGTGAGGGAAGCAACCTGGTGGATGGGGAGAGTTGGTGGCAATCTCCCCAGGGTTGATGCTTGTGTCACGTCAATTGAACATGGTCATTGGTAGTGACTGTGACAGTTTGTCTGCTGACTGCCTCTAGTGTCTTGAGTGAAATCCTTAAAAGCAGATCAGATGGATACATGACTCTATGTTTTTTGCCATGCTTTGGCTTTAAAGACAATGTTCTTGATTGGCTCCTTTTTAAATTGTATTTTATATTTTGTGGAGTGAATCAAAGAGAGATCTAATTTGAAGCAGAGCATAACATCCAGAGCTTATTTTCCTGGATCTAATCATAATTTTCTTTATTTCGGATGCCCACCTCTATTTTTCATTACCAGTGACTATATTGTCTAAAAGTGACTTTTTCTAATGTTGAGCAACGAGTGAATGACAGATGATTGATGTCCATTTCTGTAAGTTTAGGTGGAACTCATTTTCCTAGCTTCTGAAATTTCCTAAGATTGTAAATGATATGCTATAGTTGATAGATTGCACAAGTACTAAAGAGCTGAATAAATTTCAAAACACTTACAGATTTTCCTAACTTTATTCATGATTTAATCATCTTATTCTGTGAGTGGCATCTTAATTCTTGACCGTTTACTATCCTCCTGTTTCTTTTACGTTTTTTTTTTTTATAACACTTTTCTATAATAAAATAATTTATAATTCATTTACATGGTAAGTATAGGTTGAACATAAAATCTTTCTATGATTATGTTCATTCATCTTAAAAACTATACTGGACAATAAATGAAGCACATGTTGAATTTTACAAATGCCAGAAAACACCATTTTTATATTAAGGTATAATTTGCAATAAACCAAGTTTTTTTTTTGTGTAATGTATGTTTGAAATCTGGCAAAGACTTCAGGCTCACCTTATAGATTAGCTCTAGTAATGCCTGCATTAATTTCTGACTACTGAGTAAGCAAAAAAATAAAATAAAAAATAAAATGTTGGTGCTTAATCACTAAATGTTTCCTTTACCAAATATTTAGATTGTTTGTACAGAAAATGACAAGGTTGTGGAGTAGGGATAAATTTGGCAGGTAGTGAAAAGAAAAAGTGGAGACCTGTTTATTCATATGTTCAGAGGTAGCTGAGACTAAAATATAACTTATTTTGTTTGTTTTTTATTTTTACTTTATATGCTATTGTTCATCTAATACAAGGCCAAAGAGCAACTCAAAGTAGAGGGTTACTGAATGAGGTTGTTTTATGGATGTAATAGGGAGTGGTGCTATCCATGTATCATGATGTAGCAATAGGCAGAAAATAATTACTGCATAATAATAATAATATGGGTCATTTCAGAGGTAACATTTTTAAAAACATTTTTCTAAGTTATCATGAAGCTTCACGTCATCATTTGTTGAATTCCTAATTTTTACTTCAAAATGTCACTTTTTGTAATCAGCACATTTATAAATTAGATAAATAAAGGATTCCTTAGATCATTTCTTTTTTTTCTTTTTTTTAAAGTTACCTACCTTTATTCTACTTTCCCTTAAAATTTTTATTAGACTTTGCATTAATTTTATATTTCTTTGTTTCAGAGTTTTACTCTCTCATATTTTAAACCATGGCCTCAAACCCACATTGGATGTGGATTCTTGTAATCTTTGGAATGGCTACAGCTTGGCTATACCATTTGTCTGTGACTGCCCCAACTCTTGATAGCCCAGCTGCAAGGTAAGTGCATATTCTTCTTAAAATTCTTTATAATTTATTTGGATTTTTTTACTTATATATTTTTACATATTTTACATGTCCCTACTAAATATGAGGTATATAAATAATATACGAGGTCAGGCCAAAAAAAAGGTGTAAATAAAAATACATTTCCTCATTCAAAATTTCATCAAGTCCAAAAATAAACATGTAAAAACAGACTTACTTTTTATTTATCATCAATATAGAATGCTCATACTGTCTCACCAAATCCATTACTTGTACATCTTCCTCATGGTTTTTTTTCTTATAATTTCCTGTTTTACCTTAAGTGAAATCATATTTCAGCTTTTTGCCACTGCTTTTTACACTTACTTTCTTTGGAACCATGGTGTCCCTAAAGGAATTTTGTAAAATAACAGCAAAAAAAAAAAAAAAAGACATAACATAACAGAGATCCTTCC